TCATAACCCTGTTAATGTAGGCATTCAAACACTTGTTCTGTTCCCAGCTGTATTCACCTTGCAGGTGCAGCTCTGTGGCTTTGATCCTGGATCAAGTGTTTAAGTCATGGATGTTTCAAGTTTAACTTCTTCATATGTCTAATATTATAGTTGACTTTTCATTCAGGAAGTATGACGCTGCGCTGTCAGTGCGCTTGTCCATGTTTGTGATTGGTCGAATGCTCCAGATACCACCCCTTTCATGTGAACGCGCACCTAACTAGATAGGAAACGGCTGGCTTGAGCGATCCACTTGATAACCAGCGTCGTAGGACCGTTTAGCGAGAGCGCGTATGTTTTGGATTAGGCCAACCGGCTAACTCAAACATATCCAGGTTAGGTTGAACCAGCTGCGTAGTACAGGCCTCAGGTGTTGTCTGTCTAGTATAGTTCTCATCTTCCCCTGCCTCGTTGCCAGATTGTCTTGTGTGTTCCAAGCATTCCAGCGTTAAGATCTTTTGTCATTGTCCTTGGAGTTATCGTCCATAGAGTTAGATTAAGTAAGTCGTTTTTTGATAGTATAGGTTAGACCGTTTATTGAGTGTTTGTTTTGTTGCTTTATGTATTCAGTGTGTTGTTACCTGATTACATTAAAACACTTTCTTTTGATACTTTCTTTGTCTCTGCATCGTGCATTTGATTCCACGCCTTTGTACAGCCTTAACAATCAGATGATGAAACATTTTTGATTTAACTTATTTATTTTAAATAAGCACTTTTTGGGGGGTAGGCAGTTCAATTGTAATATTATAGTTGTACGGATAATTGTTGGTGTGATAGACTCGTTGTGTTATTGTGTTGTTGATTGTTACCTGCACACGTGTCCACTGCAGATGGTAATTCACGTGTATCTTAATCTAGAGAAAATCCTCTCACCTCTTTTTGAGATTTATATATTTGTATGCATGGTCCAGAAAAAAGGCAAACAAAATTGAAGGATTAAATAAACAAATAAATCAATGGATGCGTAAAGAAAATCCTGCACACTGCTGTTGGAAACACTCCTCGTAATGAATTGTTATGTTCTTGTTGTTATCAATTTGCACGATATCTTAATATGTGATTTTGATGTGATTGAAAAAAACGACAGATGTTATTTTGAATTTTCGCTAGACCTACTTCTTATACGTCTGCCAAGTCACAGGATGCAGTTCTCAAATGATCTGCTGCGCTACTCTATGTCTAGTCTACAGATTTATGTAAACAAAATAACAATAAGCAGTTGTTTATTTCACTGTATTTAACCCTCCTATTGTCTTCATGTTCCCCCCCCCCTTACTTTGGTGTTCGCGGTCAAATTTGACCGGTCCTGTTTTAACTGCTATTACATTAACACAAAAGCCATTAATCATCACCACATTTTATTTAACACCCTTTCAAACTGTGCATATTGTATCAGAGTACTGGTATACATGAAACACTGCAGTAAATATACAGAGAACAGACACTGAACATGTATTGGCGTGCCAGGTGTGATCCATGTGGGGGGAGGGGCACATAAGAGCGGGAAATGGGTCAAATTGTTCTGTGTGTGTGTGTGATTCACATGGGGGGATTGGGCACACAAGGGGGGACACACACATCTAGAGTGTATGTGTGTGTGTGTGTGTGTGTGTGTGTGTGTGTGTGTGTGTGTGTGTGTGTGTGTGTGTGTGTGTGTGTGTGTGTGTGTGTGTGTGTGTGTGTGTGTGTGTGTGTGTGTGACCAGGAACACCATGGGTGTTACAAAGTTGACTAAATCATCCAAAATGCAATGAAAGTGGTGATCAGCACTTTGATATGTTCAAATGTCTGTGAAAAGGTAAAAACAAAAAAGTTATGATTGATGAAAGTAGTAAATCGGTCAGATTTGACCCGAAGACAACAGGAGGGTTAATGCGCACTGAGATTTGTTACTAACTGCAAAGCACTTACTCACCACTGTACCCTGTCTGCCTTCACTCACTGTACGGAGGCTCAGTCACTGGTACATGTTCATCTATAAAGCCCTGTTGGGTAAACTCCCATCTTACATCCGCTCTCTGATCACACAGAGAGTCGCAGGTAGCTATTGTCTGAGATCACATGATGTGCTCTTGTTACATGTGCCAAGTGCAAGGACTGACGTAGGTACGAAAGCTTTTAATGTTTATTTTATTATCTTTTCTTTTAATGACTGATTTGAAATGCCATTTTCTTAATGTCTTTCGTTTTTTGTAAAGCACTTTGAATTGCCTTGTGTTTGAAAAGTGCTATATAAATAAACTTGCTTGCCTTGCCTTGCCTTGCCTTGCCTTGCCTTGCCTTGCCTTGCCTTGCCTTGCCTTGCCTTGCCTTGCCTTGCCTTGCCTTGCCTTGCCTTGCCTTGCCTTGCCTTGCCTTGCCTTGCCTTGCCTTGCCTTGCCTTGCCTTGCCTTGCCTTGCCTTGCCTTGCCTTGCCTTGCCTTGCCTTGCCTTGCCTTGCCTTGCCTTGCCTTGCCTTGCCTTGCCTTGCCTTGCCTTGCCTTGCCTTGCCTTGCCTTGCCTTGCCTTGCCTTGCCTTGCCTTGCCTTGCCTTGCCTTGCCTTGCCTTGCCTTGCCTTGCCTTGCCTTGCCTTGCCTTGCCTTGCCTTGCCTTGCCTTGCCTTGCCTTGCCTTGCCTTACGTGCGCAGCTCCTCTGGCTTGGAACGGTCTGCAAAAATAATTTAAATTGAGCGATTTGGTTCCACTGCATGTTTTTAAAGCTCGGATAGCTGCAATGATACTTGATACTGTTGGTACTCGTCAATGTCGATAGGTATGTGAATGTAACCTGTAAATATGATGTCCTTATTGTTTGATGTTTCATGTGGAACCTACTTGCTGCAGGTCTCCCTTGAAAAAGAGAATGGGACCTACCTGGTTAAATAAAGGTTTGAAATGAAATGAATGTAACATTTGGTGTTCTCCTGTTCTTCTTGACATGTATATAGTTGACTTCATTCTGCAGCTGCACCATTCTCTTACACCTTCTTTCCATTTGCACGACTTTCTGCCTCCTTCTTCTTTGAATGTTTTGTATGTTGCATTATTCAAAGACCCCGGTACTTCCAAATTCCTCTGCCTACGCTGCAGCTTTTGAGCAGATGACATAAAAACCTTTGAATGTTTGAGACGTCCAAATGAAGCAGAGCTGCTTCCTGAGGCCGTGTATTAAAAAAAGAGTTATGTAAGAAACGTCTTTGTGTAAAAACTGAATGAGCATCCCGTGTTTTCAGAATGAGAATCAGGTTTATCTCCAGGTAGGTTGACACGTACGAGGAATTTGACTTGGTGTCATGGTGCAGACATAAAAGTAAAACCATTTCTTAAAACACAGATAGAGAACTATTTAAAGAAAACTATAATAACATTAAAACATAATACAAAATATAGTAAAAATATAGCAGGATTTACATTGAAATAGAATGGAATAAAATGTGTGCAGTAATACAACAACCAATATTGTGTGGAGTACAAATACTTCATTACTGTTCTTAAGTACGACTTTTTACTTTCTACTTCTTACATGTTGAACCCAAATACCTGTACTTTCTACTTCTCACATGTTGAACTCAAATACCTGTACTTTCTACTTCTTACATGTTGAACACAAATACCTGTACTTTCTACTTCTTACATGTTGAACACAAATACCTGTACTTTCTACTTCTTACATGTTGAACTCAAATACCTGTACTTTCTACTTCTCACATGTTGAACCCAAATACCTGTACTTTCTACTTCTTACATGTTGAACACAAATACCTGTACTTTCTACTTCTTACATGTTGAACTCAAATACCTGTACTTTCTACTTCTTACATGTTGAACTCAAATACCTGTACTTTCTACTTCTTACATGTTGAAAACAAATACCTGTACTTTCTACTTCTTACATGTTGAACTCAAATACCTGTACTTTCTACTTCTTACATGTTGAACTCAAATACCTGTACTTTCTACTTCTTACATGTTGAACTCAAATACCTGTACTTTCTACTTCTTACATGTTGAACTCAAATACCTGTACTTTCTACTTCTTACATGTTGAACTCAAATACCTGTACTTTCTACTTCTTACATGTTGAACTCAAATACCTGTACTTTCTACTTCTTACATGTTGAACCCAAATACCTGTACTTTCTACTTCTTACATGTTGAACTCAAATACCTGTACTTTCTACTTCTTACATGTTGAACTCAAATACCTGTACTTTCTACTTCTTACATTTTGAACCCAAATACCTGTACTTTCTACTTCTTACATGTTGAACTCAAATACCTGTACTTTCTACTTCTTACATGTTGAACACAAATTACCTGTACTTTCTACTTCTTACATGTTGAACTCAAATACCTGTACTTTCTACTTCTTACATGTTGAACTCAAATACCTGTACTTTCTACTTCTTACATGTTGAACTCAAATACCTGTACTTTCTACTTCTTACATGTTGAACTCAAATACCTGTACTTTCTACTTCTTACATGTTGAACTCAAATACTTGTACTTTCTACTTCTCTCATTTTCCAAACAGCTGGTTCCTTTAGTCTGAATGTGTGTTTGATGCGTGGTCATTATTCTTTAGAGTCATTGCGTGCCTATTGATTTGAACACGATCCGTGTATCCATCATTTCCTGGTCTTCTCTAAAGAAGAGGGACCAATGGAAACGTTGTCATGTTGCCGTTGTTCAGCATGAAACATTCATTAGCTAACAATGACATTATTGTTCTATTAATATAAAGGGAGGTCAGGTACTCTTTAAAGCAGCTGCTAGTTATGGGTACTTTTTACTGAAGTACACTTCAAAGCCTCTTTACTTTTACTTGAGTAAAGAAGTTTAGTCAGTACTTCTACTTTTACCAGAGTATTTTTAAACATGAGTATCTGTACTTCTACTTGAGTAAAGGATGTGTGTACTCTTGCCATCTCTGCCTGTGTGCATGAATGTGATGCATAGACTCTGAGGGGACGTACCTTCGCAGGAGAGGCCGTGGGACGTGACCCCCGACAGGCTGTCTTTGCACACGTTGCAGAAGGTGGGCCGTGCGTGGGAGCAGGCGTACCAGTTGTGCATCCCTGAGAAATGTTCCACATTAAACTGTGCCGTCTGGCAAAGGAGAAGTTAAAACAGGTTGGCAGCGCACGAGTCACACAAAGCACAGGGCACATCATCATCATCATCATAACAAATATACACAATTACAAATCTACTGTAGGTTTTATAACACATGAGTGCATATTACTGTATTACAAGCTTATGATTTTACATTAAAAACTACAGGTAAAAAATACTGAAACAACTCAATAACCTTTGCACATTCAGTCCATTCGTTCCTCTCTAAGCTTTCCTTAATGAGATATACTGTATAACAAGAGCTGCTAAAATAAATAGGTATGTTAGAAATAATGACCGTATTCAGCAACTTTTTGAATGTTCAAATATATATTTAAGTAGATTTTTGAAGACTATAAAAGCCATATTTTCCTGATTTCAGATTCTAAGCCGTGTATGTTTTCTGATTTTTTAAACTCCTATTATAGTAAGCTGAATATCTTTTGAGTTGTGAACAAAACCACACTTTTCGGAAATCTTCGTATGATTTATTACAATTTCCAGACATTTTATTGATCATGTACCTAATTGATTAATTGATCAAATAACCAATTAGGTGAATCAACAATACAAATAAGAGTTATTCAAATAAATTGCTATTATCAGCTTCTTTAACAACTATAGGCAAAGTATTCAACTGTAAAAAGTTAAAATAAGTACATTTTCTCTAGTCAGTGTTTCATAAGGAGGATTGTAACAGGTGCTGTGTGTGCAGGGACGTGCACAGGTACGGGCTAATGTTGCCCGGGCAACGGCCCGTTTGGCCTTTTCGGCTGACCTGCCCCTCTGGAGAGAGCGAGAGCTTGTTTTTCTTTGTTCTGTTGTGGCCGAATCAACATGATGAGCCCACAATCAGTATTGTAGCGTCTCGCTGCGGGAAACACACTTTGTCAGCGCTGTCATCTGCCGGTGCCTTAAGACCACCTCAGTGTCCGATTTTGAAACTTGATTTTGAGTTGTCTCATGGCAGTTAGGGTATAAGGGACAAACCAGGGGACTTTACTTCCTCTTGATGCCGTCGGTCATTTACAAAAAACACCTAAATATAGCTACTTGTTGTTTTTGAGCTTCTGTCTTTCTGAGTCTTCTCATCTGTGAACTCGCTCAACGCTCGCTCTCTTCTCTTGATCGCCCTCTCACGGGTGAACAGTTCAATGTCCCGCTTCATTGTAGGATTTATGCCATGTCTCTAATTTAGTTTGACCATCTCTGTTACTAAGTTATGGAATACTTAATAAATAAGTCATTAGATACCTACCGTTACTGCGCTCATAAAGAATGATAAGAATAAGAATAATGTGTAATGAACGGGTTTCATTAATTAGTGAGTTTATTTAAGGCAATTAGTTAGAGGCCCTATTTTATCAGTATGTCTGCAGAGCAGTTACAAAGGTCAAACTACATTAGAACAGAATTGTCCCAATGTTGTCTTTATAGTTACTAACATTAGATATTTTAATGAGATATGGATCGCAAAACAAAAAATGTCCCTGGTTTTCATTTTTTTAAATCAAGTCACCGAATGCAAGCAGTCGCCTCAGCTTATTTTGTTATGAGATGTGAATTACTGTTCAATTTAGTTGATGTAATAATCGTTTGGTTTCTTTCACAGTAAAAACAAGTTACAATTTTCAAAAGGTCTTGTGTTTTTTTTCGGGGGGGGGGGGGGGGGGGGGGGGCTTTTTCCAGTTTAGAGCAACAGCCCCTCCAAATGTCTGTGCACGTCCCTGTGTGTGTGTGTGTGTGTG